CAGTTGTAGATGCCGACCTGGCGCAGCAACATCCTGCTGAGGCCACCCATCCCCATCAGGAAATCGCTGAGTTCATAGGCGGGCGCCGCAACCATGGTCGAACTCCTGCGGGATGTTGCGAAGCGCGCTGGGGTCCACGATGCGCCCCATATGCCTGGCTGCTCCCTTCGGGTTTCGAGGGACCTATCCCCAACGGGGGGGCTGGGATGGTGGGTCTGAGGAACCATCGCCCGATGGGGATGGGGATAACTTGCACGATTCTAAATCTCGGGCCTCCAGCAGGGCCGTACCTTGCTCGTGCTCAGCATGGCCGCCAACACATCCAAGCGCTGCGTAGGCGGCTACGACACACCCATATTGCCGGCATTACCCACAAAATGCATGCACCTGTTGTCGTGTTCAACTTGGCTCGGCACAGAATCTGCCCGTCGATCGATCCATCAATGATGAAGTAGCACACCGATAACACGGATCTGCTGGTATGCAACATGTCGGATCTGGATACAATGTTGTTACGAGTTGTCCACAAAGTCGGAGTCCCTGCTTGACGACGAGCGCAAGTCGCGCTGTCCAACCTCCGCTGACTGCGAGAGGTGAGAAAAATGCCTAGTTGGCCGAGCAACCACCCGGCGTATAAACAAAACGCGAGGTTGCCGTCCAGCGTTCAGCTAGTCAGGCTCAACTAACGGAGTAGCGGTGGCGGTAGGAGAAAGATAAGACATGCACTGTTCTGTCCGGAGACGCTTTGACTGAAGTCTGAAAACGAGCCCACAGGGAAGCGGAGAGACACAGTCAGAGGAGCAAGGCAGAGAGCAGGTGATACTACAACTCGCCTCCCCTGCAAACACCAGAGGCGATTGTACCGTAGGAAACTGATTCAGGAAGAGAGCTTCTGAGTCAATCCAGCTGTCAATCACTTATGCTAAAGTGGTTTGAGCCAAAATGGTTACAGATAACGCCGAGGAAAAAAGAGGGAAAAACGCAGCACAGCCTCACGTGGGCTGCAGCTGTGCTACTCCTCCAAGCATGGGATCACATAATCACACAGCACCCCCTCCTCCTCCTCCTCCTCCTCCTCCTCCTCCTCATCCTCATCATCATCATCATCATCATCATCATCATCATCATCATCATCAGCCATCAGCATCATCATCATCATCATCATCATCATCATCATCATCATCATCATCATCATCATCATCATGATCATCATCATCATCATCATCATCAGCAGCATCATCAGCATCATCATCATCAACATCATCATCCTCATGATCATCATCATCATCATCATCACCATCACCATCACCATCACCATCACCATCACCATCATCATCATCATCATCATCATCATCATCATCATCATCATCATCATCATCATCATCATCATCATCATCATCATCATCATCATCATCATCATCATCATCGCCTCCTCCGCCTCCTCCACCTCCGCCTCCACCTCCGCCTCCGCCTCTGCCTCCGCCTCCGCCTCCGCCTCCACCTCCACATCCTCCTCCGCCTCCGCCTCCGCCTCAGGCTCCGCCTCAGGCTCCGCCTCCGCCTCCGCCTCCGCCTCCGCCTCCGCCTCCGCCTCCGCCTCCGCTCCGCCTCCGCCTCCGCCTCCTCCTCCTCCTCCTCCCTCCGCCCTCCGCCTCCGCCTCCACCTCCTCCCTCCTCCCCTCCTCCTCCTCCTCCTCCTCCTCCTCCTCCTCCTCCGCCTCCGCCCGCCTCCGCCTCCACCTCCTCCTCCTCCTCCTCCTCGTCCTCCTCCTCCTCCTCCTCCTCCTCCTCCTCCTCCTCCTCCTCCTCCTCCTCCTCCTCCTCCTCCTCCTCCTCCTCCTCCTCCTCCTCCTCCTCCTCCTCCTCCTCCTCCTCCTCACTCCTCACTCCTCACTCCTCACTCCTCACTCCTCTTTCCTCACTCCTCACTCCTCGCTCCTCACTCCTCACTGCTCCTTCCTCCTTCCTCCTTCCTCAATATTCCTCCCTCCTCTCTCCTCCCTCTCTCCCTCCCTCCAAGAGCCCGACTCTTTTCGACGACTCGGGTATCGCGCACGCTCCACCCGCCGCGGCAGGAGGGGGCCGGCCGACAGAGAGTCCGAGGTGAGACTCGAGGCGAGGCGTCGCCGCGACTGCCGTCGTTATCCGGACTGCAGGAACGGTAGGAAGAGGGCCAGTCCGGATAACGACGGCCAGGGGCGCGGAGGGGGGGGACGGAGGGTAAGGGAAGAGAGGACAACCTCATCCCCCTCCTACTGGGTGGGGGGGGACCAAACCTCGCTGACTTCCTGTCGCCATGTCGGCCCCGAGCCTGGCAATGCAGCAGCTATGAGCTACACAGAGCCACAAAACAGGGCAAACACCGCGGGGTGGAGCGCCCGGAACGAAGGGCAGTGTGTAGGGGGGCCATCCTCCTCCTCCACATCCTCCACCTCCTCCTCCTCCTCCTCCTCCTCCTCCTCCTCCTGCTCCTCCTCATCCGTCAACGACGACGACGACGACGACGACTGCTTTTCCTCCTCCTCCTCTTCATCCTCCTCCTCCTCCTCCACCTCCTCCTCCTCCTCCAAAGCACCATTATCATGATCATCATCATCATCATCATCATCATCATCATCATCATCATCATCATCATCATCATCATCATCATCGTCAGCAGCAGCAGCATCATCACCATCATCAGCAGCATCATCAGCATTATTATCGTCATCAGCATCATCAACATCATCAGTATCATCCTCAGCATCATCATCAGCAGCAGCATCAGCATCAGCATCATCAACGTCATCATTATCATCATCATCATCAGCAGCAGCAGCATCATCATCAGCATTGTCTTTATCGTCGCTCTCATCATCATCATCATCATCATCATCAGCAGCAGCAGCATCAGCAGCAGCAGCATTCATCATCAGCACCACCGGCATCACCAGCATCATCATCATCGTCTCATCGCAATCGTCATCGTTATCGTCATCGTCATCGTCATCGTGATCGTCATCGAGGTCAGCATCATCATCATCATCATCATCAGCAGCAGCATCAGCATCAGCGAAATCATCGTCATCACCATCATCAGCAGACTCATCTTCATCACCAGCCTCATCATCTCCACCCTTGTTCATATAAGCCTCCTCAACAACAACAGCAACAACAACAACATGATTATTATCAGCATCGGCATCATCCATCATCATCATCAACATCAGCATCATCATCATCAGCATCATCAGCAGCATCGTAATCGTCATCGTCATCAGCATCATCATCGTCAGCAGCAGGATCATCATCATCAGCATCATCCTCACCATCCTCCTCACCCTCACCCCTGTCCTCATAAACCTCCTGAACACCATCATCGTCACCATCATCATCATCACAGTCATCATCAGCATCATCACCAGCATCCGTATCGTCGCCATCGTCATCGTCATCAGCATCGGCATCATCATCATCATCATCATCATCATCATCATCATCATCATCATCATCATCATCATCATCATCAATCATAATCATCACAGTCATCATCCTCATCTTCATCATCATCAGCAGCATCATCGGCAGCATCACTACTATCATCGTCACCACCATCATCATCAGTAGCGTCATCATCATCATCCTCATCATAATCATCGTCATCACCATCATAAAAATCATCATCATGACCGTCTCCTTATCCGCCTTCTCCTCCTCCTCCAATGTATTATCATCACACTCATCAGCATCAGCTCAGCATTAGCATCATCATCATCAGCAGCATGATCATTATCATCATCATCATCATCATCATCATCATCATCATCATCATCATCATCATCATCATCATCATCATCATCATTAGCATCATCATGAGTATCAGCATCCTCATCATCGTCGTTATCAGCAGCATCAGCATCATCAGCATCGTCATCGTCATCAGCGGCAACAGCATCAGCATCGCCATCGTCTACACCTTGATCATCATCATCAGCATCAGCATCGTCATCATCATCATCAGCAGCAGCATCATCATTGTCATCTTCCTCCTCCTCCTCCCACTCACCCGGCCCTCCCGCCCGCCTCAGGAGGAAGGGGGACCAGAGTAAATACAAAATGCACCAAAAACATCAGTACACCCTCACGTTCCGACTCCGCTCGTCATTCGAAGTCCCTATCAGTATTCCTCTCCACTGTGGGAAGCGCCAAAATTGACAGAAAAATGCCCTCTAGGCCTGCTCTTCAGGCGAGACTCCGTCTTGTAAAGTATCCACGTTCCATTATTCTAGCGACCCAAAAGTCCAAGAGGTAGGGCCATAGAATTAAAGAAGGTGTCCAGCGAGAGCTTCTTTTCAAGAAGGCTATGCCCTCCATCCTTGCAAGCGTTGGACAATGTCAGAACTATTGTCATAACACTCGCGGAGACCTCATGCGAGAACCCCATTCGAGAAAGGAGCCACCATCCATCCGTGCGCACAGATCTGAATGTCGTGTCATTGTTGAGGAAGTCTCAAGCGGGAACACCATGTTGTAAAGAAACCGCCCTCCGTCCGTGTTATGTTTCACATGTTGAAGACCAGCATGCGCGGCGCCGAAGTGAGAGCCCCAATTTGAAAACGAAATGCCCTCCATCCGTGCAACGATTGGTCTGTGAAGACGAATATGCGCGAACCCAAAGGGGAAGCCCCGTTTGGAAACCACCTGTGCCCGTGCGAACTGTTGCACTGTTTAAACTTCAGGTTTCGACATCATAAATTGTGCGGACGTCTCAAGCAAAACGCCCAGATCGCCCTAACGACACGTCTAGTGGTGCGACAGAGAGGCGATACTGACGAGGAAGAGGGATGGAAAGGAGAAAGAGATGGTGAGGCGAGAAAGAGGGAGAGAAAGAGCAAGGAGGAGGACGGCGAGGGGAACGGGGTAATCCAGTACTGGGCGCGGCACTGGATTGGCTGACTCTAATGCTACTCGCCGACCCTGTGCTCACACCACAGCTACAGTCACAGGAACAAACAGCTGGCTTAAGGGAAAGGCCTATCACTGAACCAGATGCATATGAGGGTTATGTCGTCGACGACAGTCTCTTCCTCCTGCCAAGGGCAGATGCGACAAGGGCAGAGACAAGGCGACACCCTCCGAAGGCAGCAATCATCCGATGTTCTATGCCGCCAGTGCACACTCGGGGTTGCTCGCAGTGGTGCTGTGCAGCTGTGTCGTTTCAGCCCACCTGCTGACTCCCTTTTGCCTACTTCTGGAAACCCCCTCCGTCCCGCACAGATGCAGAGCAGCCAGGAGCACCTAGTGCAGAGCAGCTACATTGGAAAGACCATGGAATATCACACGTGCTCCTCATCATAATTCTCAGTCCTCCTATCCCTTCAAAACTATCTTCAATCTCTGTCCCCATCCCCCTTCCCCACGGCGTTCAACGTTGAACGCCGCTGGCGGGGTCGCCGCCGGTCGACACGACACGAACCTACCGTACCCCTCTTTTCGCCCCTCCCTCCCTCCCTCCTGCGAGCACGCGCACGGACACGCGCGCTCATGGCTGCAGTCTACGACTCGTACCTCCTTCGGTTTTCCAGAACACGTGTGCGCTCGTTTCCACCACTCTCGACGGTCTTAGGATAGAGCGGAATGACGAGGAAGAAAAAGCCCGATCGCACGAACAGGCTTTGCCGCAGCGCATGCCCACAAAAGGGAAACATGAAGCCCAGCAACGAAGCGACCTTATGAAGCTGACTGGTTGTCCGTAACCTAAAATACTCGCACAATTCCCGAGAACCAAAAGAAACTGAAAAAATACGAGTCGCGCAAAGAGCATGATGCACTCAATATTGCTCTATTGTTTGCAAGCTGCACACCGACTGCTGGACGGCGACAAGAAGGTCGTCTAGCCATTCGCGATGTACCCACAAAAGCTGCTGGAACGGGCCGAAAACATGCAAATCGAGGCCGCGAAACCACCAGAATTGCGATGGCCGAGCGGTTCGACGCCAGGTTTCGGATCATGGCAACGGAGGGTGGGGGGGGCATCCCGCTCAGTCCTGCACCTTCAGCGCCACAACGATACCTAATCAAACGCGCATGTCTCCAAAGTCCCCCAGGTGCACCCGTATGACGTCTGCGAATCCTGGGAAGTCACTGGGGCGGCTGGGGAACCGGGGGGCCGGGCCCTTAGAGCCTTATGACCCCTTCACCTCTCGAGGCTGCAGGACCGCGTGAGCCTTGGGGCACTCCGCCACGTGCTGAAGGCACGGTGGCGGACAACAGCTCAGATCGTAGGCTACAGGAAATCGGATCCACGGTGCCATACATCTGCAAGCCAATGCTATGGTTCTACGGGCGAGGGGTTCCCCATCGGCCAGTCGGTTGATCGTCGTCGTAGGTCAGCGTGGTGTAACATAGCATCTTATGCGATGGCCAACTGGTGCGAAATGACGACGCACGTGACAAGTATGCTTAACCAATACCGACAGGCTCCTCACACGCGATGAGTGACCTATTGAATTGTACATGTCACGCTTGATTGCAGCAATCAAATGCCAAACGAAGCTGAGCCATGCGGGATACGCAGGCGCAGCATCCTCCAACAACGTAGCCTTCCTTCCTGCTTCCACTGATAAAGCGAGCAAGGGTAGACGGCCGTAATACCTAAAACGCATCGCTCTGCGTCGTCTGGGGGGCGAGAGTGCAGTCTCGGAGCCCGCGTGGCTCGGGCACCGATCGCCCCTCCCCCTGGACGCTCCTGGTGAGGGGATGGTCGAGGCCAGCTAACGCGTTCTTTTACACAGGCCCCTCGGGACCGACTGACGCGTGCGCTCGGATGCCCAGGTCTTGCGGAACCCTCCGCTCCTTGATCCAGCGATTCCAGGCCTCCTGGGTCAGGCTCTCTACGGCCTGCTGGGCCTCCGACGGCGGGAACCTGCCTATCATGGCCACTGCCTGTCGCTGGGGCAGGGGTGGTGGGAGGGAAGGACAAGGGGGAGCGGGGAAGGAGGAGCGAGGAGCAAGGAGGGAGGAGAGAAAGCACTCGCCAAGGTAACTGGTATGTGTTCGATACTCTTCATTTGGTAATATCTGATGTTGCTGAAGTCCAGCTTCGGCAGACCAACGTACCGACTCGGCATGTCTCACCGGTAAGATGTTGAGACTATCCCCGAGACACGCGCGCGCGGTCCAATTTGATTACACACGCGCGATCGCAAAGCGAGCTCAAGTTAGAACAACTCAGCTACAGTCGCAAGGCATGCAATATAATACAAGGATGAGACGGTGGCAGCGGCGGCAGGGGGTATGCACAAACGGCTGGGAGGGATGGGAGACGAAAAAAAGAGGAGGGGGGAGAAGGGAAGGAGGGGAGAATGGAGAAGAGAAGGGAGATGAAAGATGCAAACACCGTCTGTCTACCAAACACCTGCTGTAGACTCCTCCTCCCTCTTCCTCCTCCTATTCCTCCGCCCTTCCTCCGTTTCCTTCCCCTCTTCCTCCCCCTCCTGCTCATGGTCATTCTCCTCCTCCTCCTCCTCCTCCTCCTCCTCCTCCTGCCCCTCCTCCTCCTCCTCCTCCTCCTCCGCCTCCTCCTCCTCTCCTCCTCATCCGTCTTATCATATGTCTTATCCGTGTCCTCCTCCGTCTCCGTGTCATCGGTCTCCAATCGTCCCTCCTTCTCCCATCGCACTCCTCCCCGTTCTCCTCCCTATACAGCCTCATTCCTGGTCTCCCCCCTCCCTGCCTCCTCATCCTCATGCTCCCCAGGTCTCAGATCACGATTCCCACGCTCGCAGCCCGAGCGGAGCACTCGAACGGGAGGCAGCGAAGAGGGGCACCGAAGCGTCGATGGGCCCAGGTCTGGATCGTTGAGGGGCGTCGGGCGGGTGGACAGCGACAGAGACCCCTCATCCTCACTCATAAATTCTCGACGGCGCTGTGGCTTCTGACGGGCCCATGGGCCTGCTCGATCCGATCCGATCCATGCATCCTCGCTCCCTCGTCCAGGTCTCTGCCAGCTGTAATGACCGCCACCCAGGCTGAAATGTCGAGACCGAGCAGCGGCATCAGAAGCAGGTGCAGGTGGCAGCAGAAGAGGACAGGGTGGAGAGAGGAGGACGATAAGGAGGAGGAGGAGGAGGAGGAGGAGGAGGAGGCGGAGCAGGAGGAGGGGGCGAGGGAAAATTCGCCGGCCCAACCGGCCAGAGGCGTGCTAAGATCTCCAGTAAAAGGTTAACAGTATTTCTAGTTCGCGCGCGCGTGGCGGCCCCTGGGGACCTCTGGACGAAAAGTACCCTGGCCGATGCCCGGCCGACTCCCTGTGAAAATCAGGTAGGCAAGGATGTGAGATTTAGGGTGATAATGAATTATCTGTCCTTTCCGCCCGTGGCCGTTGTGGCTCATAAGCTAGGCGGGAGGGAAGACGCACCTACTCACGTTTGAGCCTGAGAACGGAATAACGATTTCATATCCTATATTATCTTCTGGGTCTGTGATATTGTGATCTGTATTTACACTGGTAGCGGAGCTGGATCCGTTCTACGGTTGCGAGATTCATATTGTGAGCGGCCGTGCAGATATGTGCTGGCGCTCAAGACTCTCGTGGTGCTTTAACTCTGCGCACTTCCTTCAGCGATCAATACGTTGAACATCATCACCTGCAGCCTGGCCGATAATCGTTGCCACGACCCAGACAGCAGCAGGGAAAACTATATCTACTACGAGCTGGACGGAGACGCCATCTTCAGAGACGGCGACGCCCTCTTCAGAGACGGCGACACTATCATCAGAGACGGCAACATCATCACGACAGACAAGATGGCGGCCAGGCAGCAGCAGCCCAACGACGGACCCCTCTTCGTGGACAAAGAGGGCGTCGTACATTACAACGGCGACCCAGCCTACGGCGAGGACTTCGAGGAGCGCGCGATCCTCGGCTACTATGCGAGCGAAGAGAAGCTGCAGAAGCTCTACGCGATCAAGCTCCAGAATTCTTTAAATGGGCGAGCGTGGAACCTCACGATGAAGAGGGCCGGGATTGCGACGCAAGAAGTGTTGGACAAAGCAGGTGAAGTCCCACTTGCTGCAGTGAAGCTGGTGGTGGTAGCAGTACGACAAGCGTGCGAGCGGATCGCCCCACTACAGAAGCAGCAAGCTTTCGAGGAGTATGTCTTCAAAGGCTTTCGCAACAGATCGGAGTCTGTGCAGGACTACATCTCGAGGCGGGAGACGAAGTATGAGCGGCTCAAGTCTCTATCAGCGAATACGACAGTGAGCGAAGACCTGCGGACGTACTTCCTACTAAAGTTGGCCAATATCAGCATGACCGAGCACAAGGCTATTCTCGGGCATTGCAACACCGAGTACATATGGGTTGACGTGACGGCGGCGATGCTCATCCAGCTGGACACGACGTGCAGAGACGAACGTGGTCACGGACGTTATGGAGCATACCCGGCGGACTACGACGACGACGACGAGGAGGAAGCCCTACTCGGATACGAGTGTGGCGTGTGCGACGAGGACGGGCTTCTGAGCGATAAAGATTACGACGCGCTGGCAGCCGACATCGACAAGTTCGAGGGGGCAATTGACGACGTCGACCCCGAGGAGGTCAGCCAGAAGGAGTGCGACACTCTAGCGGCTGAGGCACAGCGTCTCGGGTGGAAGGCTGGACGGAAAGGTCACAAGCCCAACTACAAGCAGGGCCGGAAGAGGCTTGCACAGAGCAAGTCCAATCGAAGCTGGAAGGCCAACATCAACAAGCAAGGATGCATCAAGATGGACGGCAAGGAAGCCGAAGAGAGCTAAAGAAGATAAAGGCGCGCACGAAGTGCAATGCATGCCACATGAAGGGCCACTGGAAAGGCGACCCAGAGTGCGAGAAGACAAGGCCATGAGGTGGCGGATCATCGAGCAGCCTACAGCGTGGAGGACGAGATGGTGGCCGAGGCTTTCACGGGCGACCTGGAGGTTTTCTACGACGGGCTGGGTTTGCGATGGCAACGGCGGTGAAGCTACTGATGGCGGACAGCTCAATGGACATGACTGCCATCCAGATCGCGAATGATGCTGGCGAACATGGAGACCACGATGGAGGAGATCACGAGTCTGACGGAGGTGAGGATCGACACCGACGAGCAGAGCGTGAACACCTGGACGGTATCAGCGCTTGGAGACGACCAAGGCACACGAGAACCCGAGGCTGGTGATGACCAAACGCCAGGATCTGGATCAGGACAGACATGGCCCAGCAGATCGAGCACCGAATATCATGAAGAAGATAACACAGCAGCAGACCTACAGATGATCAAAGATCGAGCAGCACAGATCGCAGCCTTATGGGTCAGCTGTGAGAACATGAAAGCAGCCTACAGGGATTACATGGATTGGTGCGTGGACTGGGCACTACATCCGATCCACCAGCTCATGCACATCACGATGGAGATGGCATTACAGGGGCTCAGGAACCTGGCGCGCGACCTGTGCCAAGCATCCTGGGACAGCACCTGGGAACTACGAGACATCGTAAGGAGCACCTGCGAGCGCCTACCTCATAGAGTGCGACCGACATGGCTGTGGACGGAACGCAGAACGGGCACAGACTACAGGCCCACAGAGGATCGCGCACCATCATCTGACATGCAGGTGGACTACGAGGAGCTGGAGGAGACCGAGGTCTACGCGATAAGGAAGGGACCTATTCCAGATGGACATGCTGTAGTGGACACGGCGTGCCTACGTGGATGCGGAGGTTCACTGACGTTGGACGGCTACGCGGAGGACACAAGGGTCATTACGAGGATGAAGGGCTCATCCATGCGTTTCCGAGGCGTGAATGATAGCGCCCCGGTGATAGAAGAAGGCGAGCAGGAGGTGACAGCTGGACTTGCAAGAGCCGACGTGAATATACGATTCCAGAGGCTGCCGAAATCGAAGACGCCGATACTGCTAAGCACCCACCAGCTGGAGGAGCTAGACACAGTGCTGTACGTGAAGGAGCGGAAGGCGGACTTCAAGGCGATCAACAAGTACGGGGTGCCGCTCAACAAGACCGAGAAGAGGCACCTGACGATCTCACTCAAGGACTGGCCGAAGAAAGAAACGACCAAAACAGTACCATCAGTTACGACGGATGCGATCGACATCTGGACCGCGGAGGTGCAAGAGATAGACAAAGGCATCCTACGACGAAAGCAGAGGAAGCAGATCGGGACGTGGGAGGAAGAGTTGCAGGACAAGCTGGACCAGCGCCAGCAGGTCGTGGAGACGCTAAAGGCAGACCCAGAGGAGAAGCGGCCTATCATATGTGAGCTCTATGCTGGTGGCATGGCGTTCACATCGGAAGCTCTGCAGCGGCGACACCCTACTACGAGACCAAGGGACATCCTGATAGGGGACGACGACATTAAGTCACAGCGGAAAGTGCTGAAGCAGCTGGACGAGAACGACCCATACGTGACTATCGCGGGTTTCCCATGCGACCCGTTCACGAACATATCGCACATTCTTCCGCAGAAAACGAGGATGATGAAGCTATCAACTGGTATGAAGCACCTGCGGTTCGTCAAGCAGATCTGGCTCAACTGCAAGCGTCGAGGAGCACACATGTTACTGGAGAACCCGCTGACATCCAAGGCGTGAAAGCTCATGCCGTGGCCAGGCTCAGAGCTTGTGGCCACGATGACGCACCAGTGCGCCGAAGGCAGCAACCTGGTGGACTTCCGGAGCGACCCCGTCAAGAAGCCGACGCGGTTCCTGACTACGGCCATCATGCTAGGCGCCAAGCTGAACAGCATCAGGTGTGACAACACGCACGAACACACGAGCATGATAAACAGGCCGAAGGGAACAGCATCAAGTCTTGGCAACTGGACGGCCAACCTGGCTAAGACGATCATGGAAGGCATCGAGAGTCAGCGGGACCTCGAGAAGCAGCACGGTGGGTACGCCAG